AGGTGGGGAAGGTGGTACAGGTGGAGGGGGTGGTACAGGTAGAGGAGGTGGAACAGGTGGGGAAGGTGGTACAGGTGGAGGGGGTGGTACAGGTAGAGGAGGTGGAACAGGTGGGGAAGGTGGTACTGGTAGAGGAAGTGGTACAGGTGGAGGGGGTGGTACAGGTAGAGGAGGTGGAACAGGTGGGGAAGGTGGTACTGGTAGAGGAAGTGGTACAGGTGGAGGGGGTGGTACAGGTTGAGGGGGTAGTACAGGTGGGGAAGATGATGCAGGTGGGGAGTATGGTACAGGTAGAGGAGGTTGTACAGGTGGAGGGGATGGTACAGGTGGGGAAGATGGTACAGGTAGAGGAGGTGGGGAAGGTGGAGGGGATGGTACAGGTGGGGAAGGTTGTACAGGTAGAGGAGGTGGAACAGGTGGGGAAGGTGGAGGGGGTAGTACAGGTGTGAAAGATGGAACAGGTGGGGAAGGTGGTACAGGTGGAGGGGGTGGAACAGGTGGGGAAGATGGTACAGGTAGAGGTGGTGGAACAGGTGGAGGGGGTGGTACAGGTGGGGAAGGTGGAGGGGGTGGTACAGGTGGGGAAGTAGCACACCATCCTCTGACACACTCTCAGGCTCTCCAGTCTCAGCTCCTCAGCAATGATTCTTCCACTTTAACCTTTAATGGATTTGGGTTGATTTTTAAAGGAGAACTATGAGGTAAGTGCTTTTCACTCACCTCATTGTTCTAGCCGACCTGTGACAATGAGACTGTCACAGGTCGGCTCAGTAGATCGGGAGGTGAGCGAACACATACCGGCATTCACTCACCTCTCGATCCTGTCACGTTACTCCTGAGTTTAGTGTCACTTTAAAGTTACACACAATATCTGCGTCTGTATATAACTCTATTGAGCTCTGTACACACCGAGCTTCTCTCACCAGATACAGATCCTACAGAACATGTAATAAGGAGCTGAGAGTGCCACCTGTTGGGTGCATATGAGAATGCAGACTAATAATATGCAATATTTATATTTAAATGAGTAACAAAGGAAAAAACGCTCCTGACCCCAATAAATAAATAATGTCATTAAATATAATATAAACAGAAACTTTATTTACAGTTCTATTTGATCTCTACAACTTTATTGGGCTTAATTTTTAGAGATCAGAGCGCTAAGCAGGCCTGAATG